TATTTAATAAAATAAATTTTTAAATTTTAAATTAAATTTGAATTAAATAAAATTACATAATTTAAATTTTAAATTTGAATTCTTTTAAAAATCAAAACTATTATGAATAGTCCATTTCAATCCAATAACATTGGGTTTTAAATTAAAACTGTTAAATGGGTTGCACGTTTGAGTTTTATAAAAAAAAATTTTTCATCTCTAATTAACTTGTAAATAATTACAATATATTCAAAAAACCTATTATGTGTTTATTTATTTATTATATAAAATTATTTAATTAAATCATATATAAATATTAAACTAAAACAACTAAATTCAAGTGGAAAGAATGTTCCTTACCCATTGTACCCATAAATATCGGGTGTTTTATAAAATCATTACCCTTAATCTCTCCCCCCCTTTTCTCTCTCTTCTCTCTTGCTTCTGCTTTCTCTTCGGCGTTGCGTTTATTTTGATCGGAAGCCTTTGAACTTCTGAGGTTTTGATGCTTGAGCCACTGGGTTCCCCAGCCGCTCAAGCATGCTGAAGCCGACCTGTGCTCCCTCCTCCGATGACCCTTCGGGGTCTGTCGGTTTCTGGGTCCCTTTTCGGTGACCCCTTTTGGTTTTTTTTGTGTTTTCTGGTTGTTTTTGTTGTTTTTGTGTTCTTGTACAGCTTGTTTTTACAAGTCCGGCAACCCCGACTCTTTTCGGTGTAGGGGCTCGTTGGTTGTCCAGATCTGGCCACCGTCGGTCTGGATCCCTGCCACGGTGTTCTAGAGATTTCACGCCATCCTCTCCCGAGTAGATTGAAGAGTGTCCCATAGCTGTATCGGCCGACTACAGGTTGCGCGAGTGTCTTCACCACCCTTTCTCCACTGCAACGGGTCTACTCTACCTTGTTTCTCCGGTGTGTTCTTTCTTTGTTTGATACTCTTATCCCTTTGCATAAAACCTTGATGTACATGCCGTATGGCAGTTATTAATGCAGTGCTTCCTTTGCGTTCAAAAAAAAAAAATAAATAAATATCGGGTGTTTTTTCTGAAGGGATATGTAATGTTTCATGATAGAAAACTGATTTTAAAAAAAAATGGAAAAATGGAAAGAAAATGTCTTATCACGTGCTATACGAAGTGGGCCCTACAAAATAAGTAAAGCTGTTGATGGGCGAGTGGACATGC